AGTTGCTGTAGTTCCTGATCTTCAGATTCTCGAGGGGGGAGATGATCTGCCAGAAACTGCGAATCTTCCAAGAATTTCTTTCCTTTTCTTGCTCGTGACAAGATGCATATGATCTCAATCAGTATAATAAGCGCAAAGACTCCATTTACGACACTTACAGCATGAATCCAGAAGGTTTTTTTCGTTCCTCGTTGATTGTGACACTCGTACATGGTGCTGTTCTGAATGTTGCTGGTCGATGACGCATTCGCTGCGTGACTGCGTCTTGCTATTTGGCAAAGAAAGTCGGCGGGGAAGTGTTCAGGATAAAGAACTTGAGTCTGTAGGAGTATAAAAACAATTCCCATAGCAAATCTGGTGGCAAGTTGACAAAGATACGCCGCAAACAGCCTGCGTTTTCCTTGAGACGGGTTGTCGTTCTGTCTTTCGGCATCTCTTCCGCGATTGGCTACCAGCAGCTGATCGACTCTTGACTTAACGATTTGAGAGTAAATCACTCCAACAATTCCAGTGAGAGAAAAATTCAAAATCACAAAGGCGTAAACAGGAACACCAGATTTATTGTATTGCTTCTCGTACTGTTCAAAACACTGTCCTCGAACGAGGTCCATCTTTTCGCTTTTCGCAGCACAGCGGAAATCAAACCTTGACTCACTGTTCTCCATTTCTGCAAAGATGCCGAGCAGGATTACTCCAAACAGGATCCAGCAAATAACTGCTACGTAACAGATCCTGTTGAAGGTTTTAGGCTTCAGCAATTCCTTCAGCGATTCCATTTTGTGTGTGAGGTTTCTCGCTCAGTGGATCTGTTGGAAAGTAACATTGATTAGAATAAGGCGTGGAAATAGATTGAACATGCGCATGCAAAAAGCCTGATTCACTAACACTTGCTTCCTATCCCGATAAAGAAGTGTCAGAAGTACGTTTCCAATTCAGTCACTAAGCACCCTCTTCCCCGTCGAAGCTGTCATTGATTAATTGATAACTTAATTTAAACACGTTAAAAGTACAGTGGAATCCCGATTTTTCGAACCTCTGAGGAAACAAAAATTAGTTCGAATAATCGTAGGGCTCGAGAAATTGGTGGGAAAATTACAGTGTTTGACAGAGGAGAGAAATAAAGTGACAGAAGTGATAGTTGAAACTTTTGAAAGGATCACTCGTAAATCACCTCTAAAATAGAAAGGGTCAGTAAACGCGTGTCTCGAAAACTGACCTCAGAGTTGAAAAACTCATACCGTCTAAACGGAAACTCAGACTCTCTGGGTGTCTCGAAAACTCAAACGTCAAGACATGCAAAATAAACCAAATCTACATTGCGTAATTGCAAGCCGTCTTCTTTACAATGTCATGAACGAGCCAAAACGCCAAGGTGTGGGGCTGGAGAAAGACAAAATAGTTTTCTTGCCCTCGCTTTGAGGCCTCTTTCGCGTTCGGCAATAGCATCGCTCGCACTCACGAAGAAGAACAACTCGTAGAAAAGAAAAAAAAAAAATGAACTAAAAGAAATTAATAAACGTCTGTAGACAGACTAGGCGGATAAAGGTCTGACAAAACAATAAATTCCTTCCGCTATTTAACTTGAAGGTTTAAGGTGCACATTAATTCAATTACATTTTGCATGCAGTGTTACCATTCAAAAAGCAAGAGAAGTAGCATGATGGACAGTCGTTTTAGGATCGGTACGTCTATACATGTAGGTGAGATAAAATATATAAGCCAAGATGACCAAACGAGACTCTGGCAGGTTTTAGAGCTTTCTTTCATTCTATGAGAGTCTTGTGAACAGATGTTAAAATGTACACCAAATCACGGTACATGAAAGTGATCGTCTAATGACCTAAATGTTTAGGATACATAACTCGCTTTTTGATGGGTTTGGCACCAGTTACACATTTGGCAAGATCAAAGAAACAGAAATGATGTACAAGACTGCAAACGCTTTTCTCGCTTTGTCCTTTTTCATTTTATTGAAATGAGCGAATAACGAAAAGAAACTTAAAAATATAACCTTGCAAGCACGCACACAGAATATGACACAGAAAGCGTTCACACATAAAAAACAGTTAGTTAAAAAGGCAAGCTGCACCCCATGAAAACTGATGGAGTTTGGATACACCAAGGCAGTTGTCTTGGAAACCAAATTTTATTTGGGTTCACAGTGATTGCTTAAGACAGCTTTTAAATTTTTCGACGGCCACCCATGTCCCAGTAGCAACTGCCAAACAACTTCCAAATGTTATGGCATTTCTTGGCGCGAGACGCTGTAATGGACACCATTGCGTGGCTTGAAGCTGATATAATCAATTGTGAAGGTTAAAGGTGCAAGCTTTTCAATGAATTTGACGCCGAAGGCTCTTGCCAGGATCAACATACCGAGTTTAACCAAATAAACAGTCATGCACGAAACGGATAACTGACTGACGGCTACCGACTATTAATCTGTAACGTTCTACCTACTATCTAAAAAAAAGCAGGGAAGAACAGCTGCCAATTTAATTTGTCGCTCCCCTAGCGCAAAGATTAGCCCTCCTTTAGGCTGGTCACTCAATCAGGCTATTCAGGTTGTTTGTGTGAGAAAATCTATGTTCGATAGTTCAGTCTTAGTAATTAACAGACTTTCACTCCCAAAAGTCTTAACAAATTTGAAGTGGCTTCCCCCCTTACCAGTCGCTTATGCCCGATTTAAGAATCAGTGTTATTCAGCTACGCTCTTCAGGACCTTCAGGCTATTCATTCAATTACTACTGACTTATCTATCAACGTTGGTGTGAGAAAATCTATGTTCCATAGTTCAGCCTCAGTAACATGTTTAGCTTTTCACAATTTCCAAGACATCTTGTCAAGCATGTAGTTTTTGAAGTAGCTTCCGCCCTCACCAGTAGCACGCTAATTCAGTGGTATATTTTCAGTTACACTCATTACGTTACGCTAAAATCAAGCCAAGATTTCGCAGTGATGGAATCATGCCATGAACTGTGAAAAAGAATGATCTTTGTGCCCAAGTTTCTTCGCCAGCCAAAGATGTTGATTGCACTGCACTTTATGAATCGATGAGGAACAGAACATAACGAAACAAGATTGGGGGAAATGGGTTGCCACAATTATCACCAAAAACTTTTTGTGAGTTTTGTCTGTCCTCTAGCTGAGACGCCCGGCTACCTAATGTACAATATAGAAGCCGCATCGGTTCTAGAGAATACGTTCTTAAAACTCCCGAAAGTTTATGGTTGTGAAAAATGGTTCTTGTAACCATTCAAAAGCGATCGATAACGCCCACAGCAGCTTCCTTCGTTTCGAAGGTCTGTTTAGAGAGATGCGAAAATACATGATATCACAAGAATGGTAGACATAAGAGCTAACAATCGGTGTTGCCCCTATCGGAAAACTTCTTGAGACAACAAACACATTTGGATCGTGCAAACGGTTCCCAAATCTCGACAAACCGCGCCGCTTTCGAAGTAATTAAATTCTACACTAAAACTCTATTACGATTACCCTTAACGATAAAAAACAGAAAAAAAAACCTGCATTTACAGATGACAAGAAAAGGAAAATAGCAATACGCTTGGAATACGCTTGGAAATAGCGGTATTCAGTTAAAAAAGACTTCGATTGCGTGGAGGAATTCGAGAGGCGTAAAAATGGTCATTGACCTCGACTAAAGAATGGTCTGTTGTTTCTCGTCTTCTAGACGTTTCTCAGATCACAACGTTGACAAAGAAAGCCGCAGTTAAACAGGAACAAGTTGTCAAGAATTGAATTGACATTTAGTCAGTATGTTTTTATTCTGTTGCGTGGCTCTCGCTGCCAACCTGACGGAAAAAAGGAAGCAAAGCCGCATCAGACTTAGCCCTGTGGACAAATACTAAGAACACTGCGCTTCCTGCCTTCCCACACCGCACTTCTCACCTATTTTTTCGATCGCAGTTTTTCACGTTACGCCCCAACTAATTGAACGCCTGGAAGAGGCTACAGGAATGAGTCTGACGAAAGTTTATCGATACTCATCACCATACAGATGTTGTTTTTCGATAAAAATGGTCTTGAAAAAATCTCCATTAATGCTTAGAAAGAGAGTTTCAGTATTTATCAGACATGAAATGGATCGAGTACTTGAGTACTAGATGGCGCGAGTTTACAAATTTGAAAGCACATTCTATTCTTGAAGCGTAAGCTACTGAAATTAACTTGAGAAATAAATGTTGATAATCAAATGTTTTGAAATCATCGGCTTCATCAGATTGTGTTTCTTATTCCGCGACTGTGTAACAAAATTATACTTGATTAACACTCCGTATGAATCGAGGTGCATAGGTTCGCCGTAGTTTTCCGCACATACCGAAAAATTTAATAAGACTATTAGATTTATAAATTGGTCTGTCTTCATGTACAGTTTTCTCGGCTCGTGATCGCCAAATTAACAAAGAAGCCGCTAGATTAGTTTACATTACATATCACGCTAGATCTCTCGGCTACTACTTCGACTAACTGAGAAGAGGTTTTGAGGTCGACAGATAGGTTGTAAAGGTTACAACAGTTTCTTCATTGCCTAGAAGAGTCGTGCTTACCAGCCAACACAAATAGGTGATATCACAGAAACCTGGATAACTGTAGCGTGAATTTCAGCCTGATCCTCGAGTGGAGAGTGTGAAAATCAGACTGGATATAAAAGCTAACGTTACCTCAAAGCCACATCTATAGAGTTGTCGTTATGTTATTTATCGCAAAAAGGCGCACATACTCAATTTAACCCTTAATGTTTGAAAATACAGAGAAACTAACCTTCAATCACAGAAGTCTAACAACAGCAGACAGCAATTTAGTATGACAGAGAAACTGTTTAGAGTGTGTTCTCGTGGAAGGTGAAATATGCAAGGTCTTGAGCCGACGGGT